AATTTTTTTTAAAAATCATAATTAAAAGAAAAAAAAAAAAAGCCAACTTCTCGAAAAGTAACAGGAAATAAAGTACTAGCGTCATCCAGTACACTATTGTAATTGATAACATTAATGATAAAAGCACAAAAGTAAAAAGCTGAGTCTTCTTTTTCTTTTCCTGTTGGATGTGGGGAAAAGCATCCTTCACCCCTCACCCCCTTTTCTTTTCTGAAGAGAATGGAGTTTGAATTGCCTACTCTACTTCAGCCGAGCTTTGGGTTTTATGGGCTAGTTTTGGGTTAAATTACCCAAAATCACAGCTGCTTGATTGGCAATCATAAATTTATCATAGCTGTTGGACTCAAATTTTTAGACACGAAGATGAGGCGAAGGAATGATGGAATAACTTTTTGTTTTGTAATCCAATGAATGAATACAAAAAAAATGAGCTCGTTTTTGGCTGATGTTAGCCACGAATTATCCTGGAAATAAGTCAGTAAACTGCAGATATTGGAAGTGTTTTTTTTCTGCATGTATAACACCAACCGCTGAAAGGTTACGGCTGACTCGATCTACTGGAAAATTATTGCCTAACAGGCATGAACCTCACCCAGATGATGCCAACACTGGACACTAGTCTAATTTTATAAAAAAAGAACGAAAGAAGACAACGGATATCTCCTTTGACCACCAGGGTCTTATTACTGATCATCTATTAATATGTCCAAAACCCCTGAAAGAACAGAAATCTCTTACAAGGATGTTGATGAATCATGGTCAGATTCGGACAGAACATTAGAGCTGTAGCTTAGCTTCTCTTCGTTGGTTCTTGGTTTTGGTCCTCTAAAAACTTCTGCTAGCTATATGGCAGCGCTTTGCCCTTGGTTATCATATGTGATCTGCTCTTGCCTGGCTGAGAAGCTATATAAAAGTGATAGTGTAGGCTTGTAGCAACTTATTGGTGTCGGATTTGCATGTGCAATTATGAGGAAAAGTTTTGGCTAGCGGCCGGAGCTGTTTCTGTGAGGGGTCGAAATACAAAATTCAACAAGCAGCCACGTGTGTTTCAGTCTTTGACAGCAGACAAGGTACTCTGTCCTCTCTTTGCTGACTGGGAAACCATGTCTGCCTCATCTAGTTGACCCCTCCTGTTGTATTCCATTTTCCATCAAATGTAACATCCATACAAGAAACCTGTAAACAAAAAAAAAAAAAAAAAGGGATCGTTTATCTTCAATCATCTGGCGTTTTATAAATAAATTTTGGGATAGACAAATTGCTTAAATTCTAAAAAAAAATTGTGCTTCTCAAAAAATTTTATTGATTATATTTGTGATTAACACACAAAAAAAATCACAATGTTCGAATCCAAAACTTCTGAAACCAATCCCTAGTTGGCCAAAACCCTAGTTAGTTACTTTGCAAGTGACGTTCATATGAAAAAATTTGTCGAAAATATTGATATTTTACCTGTTATTCAGATATGATCTCATGTATATTATTATTTATATGTGTACGCGGAATTGCACTTTTGCTTTTAGGCAAATGTTGTGCAATTAGGGGAGTGGGGGGGACAGGCGAATGTGTTAAGGCTGCAAATTTGCTTCCTTTCCAACTAAAAATCTGGAGACAGGAGAGGTAGCTTTTTGGCATGAAAATGAGCGAAATGCCGTACTCTGTCCAAAAATTGATAGGGAATTAGATTCCAGCGCCACCAACGGGCAATTTTATAAGCCTTTCAGTGTTTAAAATAAATGAAAACTAACTCATCAAATTCCACGTTTCAGATAAAAATATGCAGCCGTGGAGTGATGATGCATCATCATGCATGCAAAGCAAAGTGCTAAAATAAGATTGAATAAAAATAAATACAAAACTACATGCACGTGGGGAGATAAAACTATAAGTCCATAACCCCACTCAAGAACTAGGGCAATGGGAATGTGATATGTCACCCTAATTACTACCATTTTCATGTTTGAGTATTAATAGTCTATTTTAGAACAAATGAGACCGTAATTTAGAATTAAAAAAAATTATACGTAACTGTTGACATTTAAAATTTAAAATTATTAAATGAAAATTTGAATGATTACATGAATCATATTTTTCTTGTTTTGTTGTTCAAGTTATGAAGCATATGATTGATTAAATTATTCCACGAGTTTCAAGAAAAAAAATTAATTTAGACCATCCTCTTTAGAATTCATGTATATCACAAAGTTTACTCTTAAATCTTGATATGTAATGTGACAATTTAATTTAGAAATGCAAATTTCTTTAAGTATATTTCTCTCTTCAAAAATTTACAGTTTATGATTCATAATTTCATATATACATATACATGAAAATGTACGAAAAGTATATTAATCAATGGAATCTACGCCGTTAGCCAACGTAGCTTTGGAATCCCGACCATCAGCATCTCATGAGAAAAAGAAGAAAAACAGTGATGTTGATTTTTCCCCTTTCTCGTCGCATTGTTAAATTTTAAAATTTAAAAAAAAAGGAGAGGGGGGTAGCTGCCCATTTTTCTTCACTTAGAATGTACATTGTTCAAGAATGATTCGGCCTTTAAATAAATAAATAAATAATAATAGATAATGAATAAAGGAGAATATGAAGGAGAAGTGGGGTCATGGCTTGCCGTATCAGAATTTTGGGAAAGAGAAAGAAAGCTATTATAAACAATGATGTATCATGAACTGGTTAATGGGTTTGGTTTTTTTTTTGTTAATTTTCAGTTGAAAATTAGAGTTACTTACTGTACTGAGACTAGTTCTGTCTTTCTCACATTTTCCCCCCAAAGGAGGAAAAGTAAGAGTTTCCTATGTTATCTTTCCTTTTATAATAGTGAGACTAAAATCTAATTACTTAAAGAATTTTTTTTTTTACCTAATCACTTTTCTCATGAAATGATGTCAAATGCTTTACCCAACTTTTCTTTGTTAGGATTAACATTCTTTTATCTTAAATTCAAGTTTTCCAAGCTTTTCATTAGAAAAGTATAATGCCAAACTTTTTTTATTTTTTAATATTTTCTACATATAAAAAAGCAAACGGAGAGAGACTTAGAGATTCGAATCTTGAATTTAATAGTCTTGTTGTTAACAAAATTGATTGAGTTGATAAGCATTGATTCTCATATTTTATTATCAATTATTTCTTTTGATAGGTGATATGTAAATTTAATATAAGTTTTTATTGAAATTTACAGTACATCCTAATTTTGAAATGAGATCCCTCATCTGAATTTTATTACACAAAAAAAATCTTAAAAACCCTATTTTACAGATGTATTATCTTTAATGTCGTTAGCTTTGTTTTTCGAATATTAACTAAATAATTCATCCAAAACATTACTATTGAAGTTAAATTTAATGATATCCTACAATAAGGTTTGACTTGCACATTCTCAAATTTAATTATTAACAATTAGGGAGCATCATGTTCCTAAAGGCAATATGCTACTTGTATTTAATATAAAGCATCATTTTGAAGGAATGTTCATAAAAAATGCACTAAAACATTTATGCTGTTTAACTAACACATAAATAATCCAATCTTTCTTCCAAAAAAGAGATCTCTTTATTTTGAATATTTATTTACTTTACATTTTGAACTATATGAAGATGAAAAAGTTGACTATTCAAAGTTAGATAGACTTGTATCTCCAAGTAGTTAAATTTTTTTTTTTTTACAAAGAGATAGGAGTTTGAGAACAAGTAAAAAGATTATAATCTTGCAGGAGCTAAGATTTAAATTTCAAATTTATTAAATATTATTTTTTAAGAATGACTGCATCAACCAATTGAATTAGAAATTTAAAGCTGTTCAATATCACATCTTAATTGGCTTGAATTAGTTATCCTTACATACATATTAGTAAATAGATGTTAGATATGAAGATAATTTTTTTTTCCAAATAAACACTTTAAAGTTTTGACCAAAAGTACCACCAAAGCCAATGTTAATTGAGGATTAATGAAGGGTAAATTTAATAGTGACCCATCGACCTTGGCTATATATTAGCAAATAGTTCATTGAATATGGAATAGTAACCCTTTCAGAATGCTATAGAAACCAGATTTCCTTGTTGAAGAAGAAAAGTATGCATGGCCAATGGCTTCATGTTTCTCATTCCATCTTTTTTCCAGCTGCCCTCTTACCAAACAAAGTGATTTCCATAATTCCTCTCCACATACTCTCCTTGCTGTCTCAATCCAATAAAAGGGGGACTCAACAGAGAAAAAGAGTATAGGAATATTTAGAAGGGAATTAAAAGAGAAGAAAGACAAATTGCAAATTGGTTTAATTTCCTAAAATATTTAAGAGAAAAACATGCTAGGTCTAAGCATTAAAGTTTAAAGACAAGAAGAAGAATTTCTAAAATGCAACTTAAAAAGTTGATGAAGATTGGATAAACTCATCGTTTTCTTCTTCCTTTTTTTTATTTTTTAATTGAAAAGGATAGCTTTATTGTGAAATTGTTAAGGCATAGATGTGCTTAATTGACTTGCACATCAAATGTAAATCTATTAATTAAAGACAATTAGCTACCCTAACCCTAAAAAAAGTCAAGAAAGAGCTGAAAGGTATTAAACATAGTAATATGTTGACTAGCAAGGTAAACCGATCAACAAATAAATATCTATAATTAATTAATGGACAGCACTACATGCATTAAAGTATTACATTCATATATTTATAAAATATAATGCGTTTTTCTAAGTTTTTAATGCAAATTTATAGTTTAAAAGAAAAAGAAATATTTGAGCATAGTTGCCAAGTTCATAATTTCAAAAAAAGAAAAAATACAACATTTAAGCGTTTACGTATAAAAATTCAAATTCGAATCTTTGTAACTTCAATAAAAAAATAAGCCATACAAGTACAGATCATGTATATGTATGTGTATGGCTAATGATTCCCTTTGATTAGGAATTTGATTAATCCCACCATAATGGCAAAAGGGTAATAATTTCTTGCTATGGTGTGGTTTTATATAATCTCTTTTTCTCTCTCCCATGCATGAACTCTCTTTTTGAGCATTAAAACTAAGCAGTCCATAGCATGAAGTAAGAAAGCTTATAGGTGAAGAAAAACATCGTCCACTCAAACCCTAAAACATATAATAAAAACAAAAAGCAGAGATATGAGAGAATAATAAGAGCAAAAGCCCTCTCCTCCCCACTCCCTTGCTATCTTTCCTTCTCCCTCCTCTCTTTAATTCTCTTTTTCTCTTTGCTTTCTTGGCCTCTGGTATTCCCTTAGTGTGATTCTCCACCTTGTTTTTCCTAAAGAACCCATCAAACTTTATAAAAGAAAAAAGAGATAGCAAAAGATTAACCATGGTTTTCTCATCTGTTCCAGTCTATTTAGATCCTCCCAACTGGCAGCAGGTAAGGGTTTTTTTTTTTCTTCATCAATTTCTATCCACAGCTTCTGCACCCAAAGTAAAGCAAATTAAAAAGATAAATATTCTATTCCTTTGATCTTTTCCTGAATATACCAAATATTTTCTTCTTTACAATTATAAAAATTTACTTTGTTTGGATTATCTATATTTTGCAGCAGCATAATCATCAACAAGGAACTGGGAGTGAAAATCCTCAGCATCCACCTCTTCATCCACTTGCTGATGTTGGAACTGGTGGTGCTGGCTCCATTAGGCCTGGTTCGATGGCTGATCGAGCCAGGCTAGCCAAGATTCCACAGCCAGAAGCAGCCCTGAAATGTCCAAGATGTGAGTCCACCAACACCAAATTTTGCTACTTCAATAATTATAGCCTTTCACAGCCACGGCACTTTTGCAAGACATGTCGGCGGTATTGGACTAGGGGAGGTGCCCTTAGGAATGTTCCAGTTGGTGGAGGATGCCGAAGAAACAAGAAAAACAAAAGCAGTAGCTCAAAATCCACAGCTTCTGCAGAGAAGCAAGTTGGTTCAAATTCAACAAATGCTGTTATTCCTTCTGAAATCACTGGTCATTTACCACAGCAAACACCTCATTTACCCTTCATGGCTTCTTTGGAAAATTTTTCTCAGTATGGTTTGGGAAATATTGGCTTAAACTTTGGTGGAATTCAAGGTCAGATAGGGGCAACAACTGGTGCCAGTGGGCAAGCTGATATGGGGTTTCAGATAGGAACCAACTCAGGCATGAGCAGCGCTATTTTATCAGCAGGGGGAACTCATCAGCAGTTCCCTTTCTTTGAGCCAACTAGTGGTTTATATCCATTAATTCAAAGTGAGGGTTCTTCTATGGTGGGAGAAAGCCAGCTTCTTCGCTCTATGAGTTCAAGCTCTAGGGTTTCTCAGCCAGCTCCAGTGAAAATGGAAAACAACCAACGGCTAAATCTATCAAGATCACTGATGGGTAGTTCGGAGAGTAATCAGTTCTGGGGAGGAAATAGTTGGCCAGATTTGTCAGGTCTCAACTCTTCTAGTACTAATCATCTCATATAGCTAGTTTCAATCTTTCTTGACAGACAGCAGCTTCAAGTTGGTCTTGAATCTTCTGCCGCTTCCAGTTATCACAACAGCTTTAATGACAGATAGTTGACATAAAGGAGCAATGTTCCTTTGATCACCTTGACTCGCTCACATGCTCCAAAATCAAAAACAAAATAATGGATGGTGAAATTGCAACGTTCACTGAGGAACTTATCTCATCATCATCATCATCTATCGAAGAAAAAAAACGAAGATTGGTAGAATTAATGTTGTTTCATAGTATATATTTTGGGTTTTCTTAAGCTATGTGTTTGGTTTTTTATTTGCATGGGCTTGTTTACAGATTTGTTCTATGTTTGCGTGTGAAGTTATGGGATCTGTTATCTGACATGATAAGCTAATATTCTCTGTGAAATATCCTTTCTCATTTCTGTTTTTCTTCTTGCATTACTACTTTTAGTACAAGGTTGCATCACAATGAAGAAAGAAAGAGTTCTTTCTGCAAACCATCAATATCACCCACATTTCGACAAAATGTTCATAGAAGAATAAGAAAATATTCTACCAGAGAGCACTTATATAGGATTGACATCCATGTCTTGTGGGAAAAAAAGAAAGGGCTGAGATTGGCACTGTTGTGTAAGTTGCATAAAATCATGCTAAATTTTGGTTCCTATGTATTTTCCTGTTTTTCAAAGAATCTGCTTGGAATTATAGAGCAGAACAAAAAAGTTGATGAAGTCATTTGCATCTATTGGCTTCTCATCAGCCCAATAGAACCAAGTAATCTCTCTTGACACAATATATTATCCTGCACTTATAAATCCCTATGATCTCTTTCCCTTCGTTGATGAATTTTATTCACCATTATTTTGAAGTTATAATTACAAGTTGATTTTACTTATGCACAGTCCAGTGTCTCTAGCATGTTTAATTATAAACTTAAAATGGATGTTTCATGTTACATCTTGCAGTTGTTTATTGTCTGACATTGCTGAATCCATCTCCTATGCTTTTCCATTTCCATTTTTTTATGCAAGTACATGGGAAATTAAGCTTGAAAAGCTCCTAGTTCTTTTCATCAGTCTTCATCCTCCCCAAGCAAATCTGTTCACCTGCAGCCATGCATCTTAAGTTAATTTGTGCACTAGACAGATTGAGAATTTGTTCATCCTTTTACAACAGATTTAATGATTTTGTACTAAATTCGTTGGGTGCGGGAGTTAAAGTTTTCAAGTTAAAGACAAAGAATCCAAGAAAAAGCCAAAAATCGCACTCAAAACCATGCAATTCCATTTTCAAACAAAGTACCAAATCAAAGTCTGTGAAGTAATCTAGATAATGTTTTAAGTTTTATTAACTATGGACATGGCATGGTCAAAAGAAGTGAAACCTTTTGAACATATCTGTCTCTCTTTCTTTCTTTCTGTCACTTTATTTATCTTTTAAGTGGTAACCTTCAAATGTGATCTCAGAAAACGAAAGATCAGATTCAATAAAAGAAAATTAAAGTTGGAAAATCTTCCACTAATAATTACACAGTAGAAGATAAAATAATAGGAGTACTATGTTTTTAAAAACTCAACTGGGGTTGGTTTTGTCTTAAACAAAAGAAAAGAAAAGGAATCAAGGGGATATTTGCTTTATTGCAAGGACCAAGGCTACTGCCTTACAACAACGAATAAAGCAAATCCAAACCCAAAAAAAACAGTCTCTCTCTTCATGATAGTCAGTTGGGGGATATAACCTAGAAAGTGAAAAAGAAGAAAAAACAGTTAGAAATGAAACTCCAATGATGATGAAAATGTGGGGAACCAACATTTCACATTTGGATGGGAAATGGGAAATGGGAAATGGAAGGAGAAGAAAGAAACTGAGAATGGGAAAGGGAAAGGGAAAGGGAATCCCAAGGTTACATCCATGTAGTGTAGGAGTGTCTGTTTATGTTTTCTTTGCTTCTTGTTTTTTTTTTATGACCAAACTTGGATAGGCTTGAAATGGTTCTCTTCATTGGAAGAATGAGTTGGTCTGTTCAAGTTTGGCATCTGGAAATGGAAGCAGCCCCAACTTCTTCGTAGCAAATATGAAGCTAGTTGCTGTTAAGCTGTGAGCTTCACGGTTTAAGCCTTAAACCTGGTCCTGCCTTTATATGCATTTCAATTTTTACTTCTTGGCTGTGCACCAGATGTAGCCAGAAAGAGAATAGGAGGATCAGATAAGGAAGGAAAGAACTAGAAGGAAAAAAAATAAGCAGTTGAAAAATTTTTAAATGCAGAATTACTATATTTTAAAAATCCTAAAATTTGTTTGTTATCTTTGATAAAGTGTTGAACTCTTAATTTAATAATCAATTTTAAATTATGATAATTTCAAGTATAAAAACTCTATAAATTCATAACTTAAAAAAATGATTACAGAATTTGTATAAAATTTTATTTTCATATCTCAAAATTATGTACTTACTATATGTAGATTCGGTAAGATCAACCTTTTAATCTTTTATTTTTTTTAATAATTGATTTCAATAGATATAAGAGATAAAGGAGACAACTAAAAAACAATTTTAATTTCATGTTTTAGATCTATTGATATTAATAATTAAAAAAATATATAAAACTAAAATATTTTACATTAATATAAGTTGATTTTTTTTCATATTAAATTTATCCTTTTATATATATAAGGAAGTATAAAGAAGAAAAAGAATTCAAAGTACTTTAATTCTTTTTTTTTATAAAATTTTTATTATTATGACCAATAGATTAAAATTGGATTTGTTTGATATTAGATTAGATGATAAAAAGAATTTCATTGTTTAGAAAAGCTACAAAACAGGCTTAATTTTATCAGTCACCAAACCACCTATAGTAAATAGATGTTAGATATGAAGATAATTTTTTTCCAAATAAACACTTTAAAGTTTTGACCAAAAGTACCACCAAAGCCAATGTTAATTGAGGATTAATGAAGGGTAAATTTAAGAGTGACCCATCGACCTTGGCTATTTATTAGCAAATTGTTCATTGATTATAGAAGAGTAACCCTTTCAAAACACTATAAAAACCAGATTTCCTTGTTGAAGAAGATAAGTATGCATGGCCAATAGCTTCATGTTTCTCATTCCATCTTTTTCCCAGTTGCCCTCTTGCCAAACAAAGTGATTTCCTTAATTCCTCTCCACAAACTCTCCTTCTTGTCTCAATCCAATAAAAGGGGGACTCAACAGAGAAAAAGTGTATAGGAATATTTAGAAGGGAATTAAAAGAGAAGAAAGATAAATTGCAAATTGGTTTAATTTCCTAAAATATTTAAGAGAAAAACATGCTTGGTCTAAGCATTAAAGTTTAAAGACAAGAAGAAGATTTTCTAAAATGCAACTTAAAAAGTTGATGAAGATTGGATAAACTCATCGTTTTCTTCTTCCTTTATTTTTTTAATTTTTTAATTGAAAAGGATAGCTTTATTTTGAATTTGTTAAGGCATAGATATGCTTAATTGACTTGAAAAGATCTTATAGCACTATATATAATTGAGAAAATGATGTAACGAAGAATGTATTTATAAATTTTATACACTATCAATAGATTAAATAATATTATCTTATTAATAAATAAATATCAATTTTTAAAATAAATATACAAAAAATTAATATTATTTAAAAAATTTACTCATTAATAAAATGACATCATCTTATTCATCTCATTGAAATAATATCATTTGATTTATTAATAATATACAAAATTTATATATTGATAACACATCAAATATAAATATATTAATTAAAGATAATTAGCTACCCCAACCCTAAAAAAAGTCAAGAAAGAGCTGAAAGGAATTAAACATAGTAATATGTTGACTAGCAAGGTAAACCGATCAACAAATAACTATCTATAATTAATTAATGGACAGCACTACATGCATTAAAGTATTACATTCATATATTTATAAAATATAACGAGTTTTTCTAAGTTTTTTAATGCAATTTTATAGTTTAAAAGAAAAAGAAATATTTGAGCGTAGTTGCCAAGTTCATAATTTCAAAAAAAGAAAAATTACAATATTTAAGCATTTATGTATAAAAATTCAAATTCGAATCTTTGTACCTATAGGATGGTCCGTTTGTTTATTTTCTTTTGGTCCACTCAAGTTATAAAGAAGGTAACTAAGCCTAAGCCCATGCGTCGAAGGAGAGGCCGCTCTCAAAGAGCGAGGCCGAAGTTGTTTGCATGCTGGAACATCATACACCACCCAAAAGTGGTGGTTCAAATCTTTTCCTCCCCAGACCCGCCAAAATCTTAGTACAATGTTGCGGCTCGACAAATTTGGTTCATACTAATTATGTATAGATTAGCATGATTAATCATGCTAATACATACATAAATAATTTTTATAACACAATGAGTATTGTAATGGAGTTTTCATCTAACCTAAAGCAAAATATCTGAAAAATATCTTCTTTTCGATTTGGGTGATATTAACTTTCATGAAATTATAAGAAAAAGACTTTAATTTTAATATATTTAACATTTAATTTTAAATTTTTTATACAACTAAAATTTCGTGATTTTTAATATAAAAAAAAATAAAAACTTTATAAAAAAAATTAATTTTCAAATATAAAATATAAAAATTTTATATATTAAAAAATATAATTTTAAAACATCCCAAAAAAATTATAAAAAAAAAGAAGAAAAGAAATGGAAGGAGTAGCTGCTTAGAGCAAAAGATTTAACATTGTATCAAACATAGAAAGTAGAATGGAGTTTTTACGGACAAGGTTGTACTTTGAGCGAGCAGATCCTTTTTTTCTTACATATCACTAGTGACTTTGGAAACAAAGTTTGATTTGAATACAAGAAACATCGCTCGAATAAAAACAGAGGATGATTATAGGCGTACATACGTTGTACAAATTCACATACATGCCAAGTAAAACTCAGCCCTTTTCTTCCCATTCGCCTTTTTTTTCGGAACTTTGATGATTCTGTGAATAATATATTCTTCCAAATAAACAAATGAATACTTACAGGTTGTACAGGTGATCTTCCACCTCCTCTTTCGAAGCAAAGCCTTCCTTCTTCAATACGTAAACAGAAACAAGGCGACGAAATGAACAAAAATTAAGGCAAAATGAACCTCAGCTATCAACAATATTTGCCATGGACTGTCGCCGTGGCTCCTGAGTCTGAGACTGAGACAGCTGTGATTGGGCCTCAGCTTGCGCCTGTGCCAGCTTTTGCTGCTCAACAAACCTGCTCATGCGCTCAAGCAATTGAGCAGCCTTCCGCTTGCCCCTGTCTGTACCATTTTGTGCCAAGTCCACCAAAGGACCCATCGCACCTAGTTCCTGGGCCTCTGCTAAATGTTGTTGGTCTCCGGCACAAAGGTGAACCAAAACTGCAGCTGCATTCTCTCTGTTCCTTGGGGATCCATTTCCAATAACATCTACCAAAACTGGCACTGCTTCCGCTGCTCCAATGGCAGACTTCCCTTCAGGATGGCTAGCAAGTATTGCAAGTATGGCCAATGCCTCATCCATCATTCCACCTCCAGGTTCTGTCAGCAAACGCATTAATGTGGGCACAACTCCAGCTCTCACTGCTTTTCCCTTGTTCCCTTGGTAAATGCACAAGTTGAAGAGTGCTGTTGCTGCATCCTTTTTGCCCCTTTGTGTGCCTTCACTTAGCAATGTCACTAGTGGAGGTATTGCTCCTGAGGCACCAATTGTCACCTTATTTTCATCCACTACCGAAAGGCTGAAGAGGGTCGCTGCAGCATTCTCTCTAGCTTCCATGCTACCCTTCTTAAGCACCTGGACTATACCAGGAACTGCTCCAGAGGATATGATGCTTCCTTTGTTATCTTCACAAATTGAAAGGTTAAGAAGTGCTGTTACTGCATGTTCTTGGATGCGTGAGTCAGGCGTTGAAAGGAGGCTCACAAGGAGAGGTACGGCCCCAGCTTCAGCAATGGCCACACGATTATCTGCATTGCGTTTGGCAAGAAGACGGATTTCGCCTGCAGCCATTCTTTGATCTTCAGGATTGCTGGATGTAAGCTTACGTAGGAGAATTTCAATCTTAATACGTTCAGTGGGTGAGAAAGCAGATGTGGTTTTACTGGGTCGAGAACTACTGGGTCTTTTGGGTGGTTCAATGCCATTTGCCTCGCACCATTGAGCTATTAGACTACGCAATACATAATTGGGAGTAAGGGCAGGGCTACTGAGTGTCTGTTGTGTCTTCGGACATGTTCCATGCCCTTGCTCTATCCATTTCTCAATGCAAGAACGTTCATAAGTCTACAGAAGACAGCAATGACACCTGTTAAAAATATAGCACAAACGTAATAGTAAACAAGACTTCAGCCTCAGCATACATGTGCATTTGTCCCAAACATGTACTAAAACAGAAGGTACTTATAAATGTCTTTAAGTTAGCATCTACTGGTAAACAAGACTTCGGCCTCTGCATACATAAGCAATTGTCCAAAACTTGTACTACAAACACAAGGTTCTTATACACGTCTTTTAGTTAGCATCAAATTTGTGCGGCGACCTCGGGCTTTGTCACTCCAAGCAATATAAATAGTGAATTACTACATGTCTAGGAACATTTCCAGAACTAACTTTTGGCTGAATAAATTAATGGCATGACAATGTGATATGATGCAACAAGCTGGGTCAATAACCAAAAAATTTTATCAAGCACAATTGAGCATTTACTGACATTTAAGTAACTAAAGGAGAAGGAGGTGGTTTTCAAGACTGAAAAGGATTAAAAAAATTAAAAGAAAAAAATCTTGGTCTATCATGAGCAGGAAATGCACAACCATACCTGCCCTGTTGAAACAATGACAGGATCCTTCATCAACTCCAGGGATATTGGACAGCGGAAATCATCTGGTATAAGTGGAGTCTTGTGATTTCCATCAGTGGTTGCTTGCCCACTGCTACTAGGAGGAAGATTCTTTTCTCTTGCAGGAGCATCCATGTTAGGACTTTCTGCCTGTACAAAATCCTTGATTTTTTTTAATAAGTTTGACATGTTCTCAAATGTTTCTCCAGGATCTCCACCACTGGCCGAAACCATCTCATGTAGAGCTAGTGATTCTTGCATAAGTTCAGCTATTCCCACCAATTGCAACTTCTCAGCCATTCTCCTTAGCACAGCTGGATCTGCTGCTGTATCGTTGCTCTTGTTGTAGATTGATAATAGATCCTCGTACAGCTCAACATCAGGTGCATCAATCCTACCTTTAGCTCTCCTGAACTGAGCTAGTACAAGCTCAACCTAAACATAGAAATAGTATCCATGTAACCATTTTTTTTAAAAAAATGACATAATGAAGTAACCCAAAGTTGCTTTGAGCGTTTCAATCTCTAGTTGAATTGTGTTATGAGAAGAATAGATGTAGTTTGCATTGCACTCTTTGTGTCTCTTATCACTTATTTCTATCCATATCATATTCGGTTTCTCAAATCATACGCAACTCCAAAGAAACTCAATCAATCATGATTACTGTGATTGCTTGGGGCACTTTGCTCCATGTCCAAGATGACTATGATTCAAGTAACCATCTTTAGGTCATACACAGCCAAGGACCTAATATGACAGATCAAGAGGAGAAGAAATGTGTACTATATAATTCTTCCAAACATATGTCTAGTGATAGATCTATACCTGTTCCTTAACTTCATCTGATATGTCAAGATTCTCATAGGAAATTTCACTCAAAGCTTGCTCCAATTGATCTGACACTTCATGAAATTTATGCATGATCTGCTCCCTCTCTAGAACCTACAAGCAGAACAAATATAATTTATCTGTCAATGGTCAAAAGCCATGACAAACCAGTTCATCAATATATTAGTGGTTTGGGCTATTAAATTATCACTTTAAGCAGAACATAATTTTCAACCAGTTTTTTAGCCATAAACAAATCTGCCAAAATTAACAATATTCCATAACATTGATTCAAAAACAGATAGTCTGGTGATTACAAACTCATGACTTCTCTCTCTAATTATAGAGTAACCAAATATTACAATATTAAAAAGAAAGTAAATATCTTAGGCCATTTTAAAAGTTTGTTCTGATACCATAATTTCCTTGCTAGACATGAGTGTCATTCTTAACCACAACCTAAAGTACACAGTGTAATACCATTCCAGATTGGATGAGCAAAGATAGAAACGATTGCATTCAGTATAACAAAATAAAGCTCGAAAAGGAAGATGAAAGCAGTAGTTTGACATAAATTCAATTATTCCAGCATAGAACTTGTGGAAATAAATGAATGCAATTTGATCCTCAGAACTTTATATCCATTTATGCCAGTCCTTTTCAACAGAAAATCAGTGCACATACATCACTTTGAGGGTCTGGCATAACAAATAGCATGAAACTTTGGCTTGACAACCAAGAAAAAAAACCAAGTCCACTCCTTGCATCTGCAAAGTATCCATACCATAAATCCAGCACATCCATGTAGTGGCACTGTGTAGAAGGGTTATGGCAAATTTGTTTGTCAACATTGACAATAAAACACCAAAATCTATGTCTATGACAAACCAATACAACTGTTGACACAGAAATGCACAGGAATGTCAGGAAGCAATACCGAGCCCAAATATAAAAGTCCATATATTGGGGACTCCAAGTGAAAAAGATCTCTCTCCCTTCAGTTATAAGAACAGAAAACATATACTGAGCTATATAGTGACAATTCCAAGAAAACCCACAGCAAAACCAATGAATGTGACAACCCAGTTAATTATAATTGCTGTTGCAGAAATGCTCAGACAAATAGCATCAAGGCCAGAAACATAGAAGCCATATATTGGGGATACTACTAACCACCACCTACCATCCTCCTCCATCCCTTCCTCTCATTTTTACAACCTCAAAGAACCTCCCAATCAAAGACCAGAGATAGAACAACCACAATTCTACATACCACGGATGCAGGAAAAAAAAATCTCCATATCAGAATGAAAAGGTCAATCTCATCCAGCAGTAAAACATTCTCCTTAATTTCCAAAGGCTTCCAAATATACCATGTTGACAACACAGGTAGGAGAAAATTACGATTACTATGACGACACCGGTTAGTTTCAAAACCTTAAGTATAAGCACACTTAATAGAGGCAGAGTTGAGCAAATAAAACACAACAATAGACAAGGTAATATCTAATTGATATATCATGGTCGGAACTAACGGAAACAAAAGGGATCGAAGGTTTTATTAAATGAATGATTCAGATTTGACAACAATCCAGACATAAGGGGACAGTCATAGAATTCAATCAGCAACTTTATATTATTTATTTTTAAAGGGAAAAATCTATCGCAGGGTTAGAGATTCTACTTCACACCCTTGCATATATCTATGACTATAACGCTTGAAAATCTTGGTGATAAGAATTTCTCATAATAATTATTTGAAGATGAAAACAAATTAATAAAAAAAACAAGAAAATTGGATGAAATTGTGGCTAAAATATCTACTTAATAGGTGTCGCCTGCTTTTTTTCTTTTGGTATTAATTAAAATAAATAAAAGGTTAAATTTTAGCATAATGTTATAGCAAGAAATATTCTGACTGTTTCCACGCACTTCATAAGCTAATTTTCCTCCACTTTCTAAGCAGCCAAACAGATCCAAAAAATCGAATAATAATACTCACACACCAAGTAAATCTTGCTGCCTTCACAGCCGAATCTGAGCAATTCCTTAGCTGAAGCCAAAGCTTCTTTCAAAGAGACCAAAGCTTTAACAGTTTCTTCAGGGATTTGCCCTTTGCTTTCTCTAATCTCCTCGAACATTGGCATCAACAGCTTCAGTCTCCTAGCAAGATTGCAATACTCCTTCTTCACGGCACATCTGTAATCGCCGATTGAAGCTATTTGGTTCACCGCATCGATCAAGCTCTGCACCAACGCTCCTTTCTCTTCTTCCATTCCGAATCCAGATCTCGTTAGACGCAGGCGTTTCGAATGGAGATTGAGCTAAGTTTTCGAAAGCTACAAAGTGGAAAAACTCGTCTCCGTTAGAGAGGAAACTGTGACAGAAGAGAGAGAGAATGAGAGTTTAATGAGGGAGAGAGTTCATTTGCAGACTGCTTAGAACTTTATCTTCCCGGGCTCGGCTTATTGAGCTGAACCGGACCGGATTGAAAGAGGAGACTAGACAGCTGAGGTTAATTTGTTAGATAGACTCGGGTAGTTCGGCTCGGCTAGGCTTTGATTGGGTTTGTTATTTTCGGTTAAACTAACGCCGGCGAGTTAGTAGCCTCGCGGTTAGATTTTTTCCTTTCAAACAAATTTAACATTTTTATGTCTAAAATTGTGCATTAATTTCAATTATTGAAAATAATTTTTTAATTTTTTGCACTAAAATATGGGCCGGGCTGCTGGGCCCATATCCGATATTGTTATTTGTAAGGATGAGAAAAAAATTTTAAAAATAAAAAAATTGAATCGTACCATTTGATTTGATACATATTATTTTTTTATTTTACTTTAAATTAAAATATTAAATTTATATTAAATTTAAATCAAATTTCAAATCGAAAAGTAAAATAATTTTAAACTTAAATTAAATTATATATTTTTATTAATTTTTATATTTTTAAAAATTTTTATGAAATAAATATAATTATTTTATATTAAAATTTATTTAATATTAAAATAATATAAAAATATATAAAGAATTAAATTTAAAAAATCAATGAACCAAATCTTACTGTTAAAATTTAAATTGAATTGATTTAAAAAATTTTACTTGAATTTAAATTTTAAAAATTTATAATATTATATATTATCTAAAAAAATTGAAACGAATCTAATTTTATTCTTAAAAATTAATAATAATAAATTTAATTACAATTTCATTATTTGGAAGAAGCAAGAACCAATTATGCAACATAATAGCACTAAATGCTAAAGATGAAGAACCATTATATACAAAATCCCAATGTGTACAATTTACAACGTGAATATTTCTATTTACTTTCGATCTTTAAATTTAGGGCAAATTTTGAGGATATATATGGTAATTAGAAGCTTTCCATATTTGTCCAAAAATGAATATTGGTGTCTTAAGATATTATTTTTAGGAACATACAAGATTGCAAAGGCTAGACATTGTTGCTTTCTTTACAGAGGATTTAATTTTATTTCCTCATCCTTTTTTTTCATTGAAAATTTTGTAAAATATTTAATTTTTGAAGAAAATAAAAATAATATTACTAAAAAAAAAGTTAACTACTTCATTTTTTGACATATATAATGGTGTAAATGATAAAGTAATATTCATAAATTATTCAGATTCGATTCGAATAAAAGTCGAATTTGACATAGTTATTATCGAATCGAGCTTAAATTCGAATAATTCGACTTATTGATCGAGTCAAATTTGAGTATTCTTATTCTAATTCAAATAGCTCGTGAGCCTAATCAAATTTTTATATTTTAATTAATAAAAACATTTTGAATTTGAATTCGAGCATAAATAATTAAGTTTTTATCGAATATAAAATTGAATTTATTTTTACATGTTAATTAAATCTAATCGAATGAATTATAGTAACTCAATTTTTATTTGAAATCGAGCTTAAGCTAAAAAAATAAAATTTAATCGAATTCGAGTCAAATTTCAATTATCAATTTTGAAATTAAACTCGAACTCAAACTCGAATTTAATATTGTATCAGTTCGAACTCGATCGATTATATTATTAAACATATATGGATTAGAAAATAAGGTAAAATATAGCTAGCACAAACAAAATCTTAACAATTAGGACAATGAGAATGACCAAAAAATAAGAAATATTTTTCATTAAGCATTGCTAATCCTTACCATTGTATCGTGTGTTTTAATTAATTATCGATGTTTGCATTTGTTAAATAATTTATAATAAATAATAACTTAATTAACTTTTAAAAATATCTTAAAAATGATTTTTTTGTTTTTTTCATTTTAAAAAATTAATAAAAAATTACTAATAATTACTATTAATAAAATTAATGAATACAAATCTATATTCTTAAGTATTACATTTATATGCCAATCGTTAATTATATTAATGTAATCATTACTTTTTTTATCAATTCTTTTAATGGATAAAATTGAAATGATTACATTTTAATTTGAAAAAAAAATGATAAATTGAATGGTAAAATGAAATTCTGATAAGAAAGCTATAAAATGATTATTTAGTCATTAATTGAATAAATGGCATTTTTAAAAAATTCGATGATCAGTCCTTACACGTGGCGATCCCATCGCCGTCCGATAAGAGTCAAGTCTAGCCTGTGAGAATAGGGGATACACCGGGCCCACATGTGGCGGGGTGTGTGGTGGTGGGTTTTTAGGAAGATAGACCGTCACTTCGTTGTTACATGACAGCGACTCGTGTCTTGATTCTAGTCAACACTGGACACCCCTTCGGCTCAGCTCAGTCCGGCTCTAAAAACCGAGCCGCTCTTTTGAAAAAGGTACCTATTCCTTTAAGCCCAAACTGGGATGCGAAAGCCGCGGCACATGGCCAAGGAGGCAATGATGGTGGCGTATTATCCAACGTGGCATTGTCCGGTCTCAGAGTTAGTAACAAATCACAGCCGTCCATTTGGGATCCCATGATCCAGCGTATCCTACGAGAAATTCTACTGAAAACATTTTTTCTTTTTAAATTATCCTCCGTCGTTCAGGGTTGGGTCACAATGGAAGGTGGGCCCGAGACCGTGACGGAGTTGCACGTGACCCGCCGCAAGGACAGCTCATGGACATGAGTAAAGTAAAATATTTTTTATTTTAATTTTCAAAATTTTATTATATTTATATTTATATTTAATAAATTTTTAAATTTATTTTTATCTTTATTTTCATAAATATTTAATGATTATAGGTAATCTTTTTACCTATAATTTTAAAAAATAAAATTTTGTTAACTTTTTGTTATTTTTATTTTATATATTTAAATAATTTTTTTATAAATATTATATTAATATATATTTTAATAAACATATATATTAATTTTAATTAATTTAAAATAATAATTTTATTATTTAATAAAAATTTATATATTATATATGTATAAATATATATGTATAATATAAATATAAAACAAATATTATATTTTTATTTTTATTTTTATTTTTATACTCATAAAATAATATTTATTCATCTTATTTAGGATAAAATGTTAAATTTGTTATTGAATATGAATAAAAATAATATTTATACTTACGATCGAATTTTCTTGTGGGTCCCGAACGGACTTTCCTTAAAAAGTGAGAAATCATTATTAGGGTTTTGTTTGCCGATTGGGCAAAAGCTGTATTACACGTGAAGTGGTGCCTATGCAAATTTGTCTGTTTTTCTTATTTAACGTTGGGGATTTTTGTTTTTTGGTGGCTGAATTTCTTTGTAGCATGATTCATTCGGCCCGACATTGATGAAATTTCGTCCAATTGTTTGCTAAACTTTTCTACAATTCTTTAATGATATTGATGTGAATGAATAATATAAAAAGGAAAAAGTTTCTAATGTTCTTTGTGTAGCACGTTGTGTAAGGTAACTGTTTTAAAATTAGAAGGTAATATTCGATCAAGTTGATTTAAATATTTTATTTATAAAATTTAAGTTTGAATTTTATTATTAATAACTTTTTAATATATAATTTGTAAATTTAATATAATTTTTTTATAAAATTTATTATTTGCTATAATCCTGAGTTAGGGAAATCTCCTCTCACTCTGTACATTTTTTTTCACTACAGGATGATCGATGCCATCCAAAAGCCAAAAAGTAAATTAGAGAAAAAAAAAAGACCTAAATTTAAAACAACAATAATCGGTTATTTTATTATTTTTGTGAAATTTTCAAGTGTTATTAAAATTAATTTTATAATTAAAAATTTTCAATTCAAATCTCGATCGTAATTTAAAAAATAAAAAATATATACAAAGGGAGGACGAGAAACTTTTTGTTTGTTCAAATAATCATGAAACAAAAACAGATTAATCAGACATCAATGATTGATAATTGGTTCGAAGTTCGAACGATTTTAATGTGAAATGAAGAATAATGTCGTTTAAAAAAAAAAAAAGACTTGAAGCTTCTATTTAGATGTAGAAAGGCAGTCAATTACTCAATAATGCAAGTTGGAATTCCTTGTAAAGTTATTAATATCATAAATAGAAAGATATCAACTTTCTTGTTTGTATTATTGAAATGCATTATAAAATGTTGTGGATGATAATGGAGAATGCCTTTTGAATGTTAGTTTAGAAACCACCTAAACATAATAGACCGGATGTAATAAGAAAAATACTAAACTGACTTAGAGGGTTAGTTGAGGCTACATGTTCGGCTTGACGAAATTACATTTTGTTACTCAAAATTTCATGATTTAAGATTTATTTGGATAAACGTTAAGATTAATTTTGATAAAATTAAAATAAATAATAAAATTATTTTAATTATAATTAAAAAAGATTATTATAATTATAATTAAAAAATAATTTATAAAAAAATTTATATTAAATAAATTTTATTAAAATTGATATTTAAATTTAATTATAACATACTAGAAATACGATGAAATCTAAATCTTATATATAGTATTAAACTATTGAACTAGCCTTTTCATCGTAGACCCAAGTTTTGGATTAGTGCATAATCTTCAATTATTTGGTTTCATGGACTGGTTTTCTTTCCATATTGAAATGGGCTCCTAGTTTTCATCATAGGCCGACAGCCATAGAAACTAGGGAGAGAAGCCCATAAAAGAAATAATTGAAAATGATAGTTTTGTTTTGATCAAAACTGAATTTTGGGAAGTTTGGACTTCGGTTTCGGGAGATGGTGCTGCTTCAATTTACACATGATAAGGAAGATGTTAGCTTGATCAAAATTGATTGGTGTTATCATAACGTCTAGATCCGAAAATTTATCGTTAGATATTGATTTAAGAAGTTGTCATTAATTTTTTTATTTATGTGTAATTGATCACCTAAAAAATTTATAATTTCAAAGAATACTTAAGCTTAAGGATCTCTAAAAGAATATGTTCGAGTCTATTAATCACAACAGGATTCGAAAGTTCAGTTATGAGTGAAGAAGGTTACAGCACCCTCACAACGTCCATCGAAAGATTGTACTAACTCAATTTCATGTTATCTGATAAGTTTTAAAAATTTTACCAAATAATTAATTATTAGAAATTATTCTTAATTAACTCTAATACATTTGACAGAAAATTAAGAAAATTTTTCAAGAAAAGAAAGAAAAATAAATAAAATAAAATAAAATAAAA